GAAGGAAAGTTCACATTGTTTCTGCGAGCAGCGTCCTCACCGCGTGTTACATTTTGCCGGTTCGATGAATGTATATGAGCTACGCCAATAGAACATTTCATTACTTAGTCTAAAACAAAAACGTCTGGATGCACAGGGGATCGAACCCCGGACCTCATACACAAGTGATTACATGCTTATGTAATCATTGCAAAGCATGCGCGCTAACCACTGCGCTATGCACCCGTACGAGTCCGATGACGAATGTTCAAATGCAATATATCGAACTCATAGACGCTGCAAGAGGACATAAGCAGAAGGAAGACAAGTCCTCGCGCCGGCTTAGGAAAAGCCAATCTCGTTGGCACACAGGCGGGAGATCGCATGACAACTTTCTTTCACAGCTCGGCTCGTTACACTGCAAGACTACTCTACGTCCATACTTTAACAAAGTCCAAGAGACTCTTCGCGACGCCAAACGTAAGCTCAGGGAAAGCCTCACGCAAACCCCTACAGTTCATGCTCCTGAGCATCTCGAGGTCTACATCTTCTTTGCGAAATTTCTCCAAGAGGCCATACTCTTTAAAGCGGGGCGTATCGATGATAAATTGGGACAAGCATTGCTCCAGCTGGGCAAAGGGTGAGGAAGCCGATGAAGACGTCGCAGATTCGACAGCTGGTTGGAGTGAAGGTTCGATGGAGGATGGAATTTCCTCTTGAGATTTTATAAGAATACGGACAAAAAGAAATCGGGGAAGAAAACGTACCAGTATCAGCTGGCTCGGCAGTTATTTCGATTGCGCTCTCGTTAGGTTGGCTTTTTGGCTCGTCCTTGTCGTTCGTCGAACCAGCACAGATCCGGTCCCTCGCTCTGCGCCGCATATCGTTCTTGCGGTGGTCAACGAGGCAGACAGATGGCATCGGAGCGTTGTTTTCGGACTTGTCGACCTGAGCGTCGGTGAAATACATAAAGTCACCCTCGAGAGTGAGACTGCAAGAGCCCGGGCAGTGGGTGCCGTCGTGTTCCCGTGAGCACATCACAAGGTCGTATCGGTGCGCTTCATGGAGGTGGTTGATGATCTCGGCGGTAGTAGCGCTACAAATGCGTAAAATCAGATCAAGAGCGAACAATGACGGATTGCAACGCACAGCTTAACATCACGACACGGAGGGAAGTTACAAACAGATCTAGTGCTGTAATTGATACCTGAGCGCACAATTTTCTTCCGGGATAGGTTGGAGTAGTGCGAATGCAGATGTTGGTAAAGCTTCTCGACAGACATCCAGCAGCTGAAAAGATCAATACTATAGGGCGTACATATCAAAAAGGTAACGAAAAGACCCACTTCAAGCGCTGTGGCCATGGTTTATCCACATCAAACACACAAATAGGACAGAGGTACCGGCGCATTAGCCGTCTCGACCCGCCTAAACGTGACGCAACACTGAGTTGCGTGGGACCACTGTTCGTACATCAAAGACAAATGAGCTGGGAGGACGGAGGAAGAGGATGGGATCACGAACCTTGTGATCGACACTTTTGATTTTCCTTTACCCTCCGCTTCCAAGTCTTCATCATCAAGAGAGTCGTCTTCTCCAGCCAACATCCCTTTAACCCTCTCAAAGCACGCCTCGAAATGGGAATTGAGGGCAGCCTCAATGGCCAGGGCACCGGTGCCATCTGGGTCGTCTTCTTCAGTGATCGACTCTGGGTCAACTACAAGCGATCCACAGACGTTGCATCGGATGGTGCCAGGGTTGTGTAGTGATTCACAAGCCCAGATGTGCTGACTATAGTGATCCCGGTGGTCGTATTCGCGTTTTTCCTTGGAAATGGATTCGTTGTGCAGGCACCATATGCACTGTCCCTTGTCACGCACATCATCCGCCCGAAGAAGAGCGATATAGCGGTAGATGACAGCAAAGCGTGGGTTCTCACGATCATCATCAATGGCGGCAAGGAAGGGGTGGCGCCCACTGATGGTGTCCAGCGTGGATGCAACGTGCATCAAGAAGTCGTCGTCAGCAAAGAGAATACCATGTGTTGATGGTGCAGTGGAGGGCTGTGACTGCTGGGAGATACCGAGGGCAGCAAGGGGCGGGTCGTTTTTCGGGTCCAGTTCGCGAGTGGATACCTGATCAACACCAGCGCGGTCCAAGTCAACTGACATGCGACTTGAGCCAACTGACATGCGGCTCGAGTCAACAGACATGCGCCCGGAGTCAACCGACATATGACTTGAGGCCACGGAAGCTGAGCGACGGGAGAACTGGCGAGGTCGGTGCTTGGAATCCGTACTCTCAAGTGACGCGACAGAGGCAGATCGTAGACGCTCCCCATTCTTGAGCTGAGCACCAAGGGCGGCGCGGTTACCCTATATGTCACGACAGACTGTGAGTCCTTGTATCACAGTATCCAAAAGTGCATACCTGAGAGCCAAGGTCAGTGTAGTGGCTGATAACTTCGCTCCATGCATCAAGAGCTGTCACCGCAGCATCGCTGCCAAGATCCTGGGTCATAGGCGTGGATTAGCACAGCTAATGGGAGCAACGGTTGCTAGTTACATTCTCGTCCAATTCTACAGAATACTTTCCAAATCTTGCGTAAACAGCATCTTCTGCGTTTTGAAGAGTGGTGATAAGATCCTGCATGACGGGATCAAGCTTCAGAACCTCGACCGAAATATGAGCGGGCTCTTCCGACGTCGGGTTTGGTTTATCGGGATCATAGGAGACAGAAGCCCTCCAATGGAGTGTGTCGAGTTGGTCTTCGCCTTGGTTGGCGAACCGATGACCTGTCATATCTATCTGACGATGGTCAGTTTGATAGTTGGCAAACCCGTATTTGCTATTAGACCGATGTCCCATGAAATGAGTAAAAAGATGCTGGGGCCGGGCGTTAATCAAGTGCTCTGACGTAAACTGGAAGTCGAACCTTTGGCAATTTGGTAGCCATCGCACTCGCAAAACCATACCTGAAACTTCGCAACTGAAAGCCTACGCGTAAAAGAGTGACGTCAAGCACTAAACAACGCGTTCGGCGGGGCGTGAACGTACTTTGCCAACCGAGGTACTTGGCAACTTTTCCGGCAAGATGTGAGATGGATGACGCTGTTGACGGCGTGGATTTGTCGGCGAGCAGAAATACAGGCATTCCCTTCCACTCGGCTTTAATCCGAAAGATGAATGGAAACCTCTCGATGCGACCCTTAGTTTTGAAACACTCGATGATGTCGTCTTCGAATACACCAAGAGCAGCTGCAATTGCCATGGCAGTGAGGATTCTGTCGAAGACGATGTGGGTTCGAGTAAGTGTTCGCGAAGCCGTGGTGATGCTATTCGCAAACGAGCGTGAGTACTCGTTGAATATGCCATCATTTACACTGACTTCTTGCCCTCGTCCAAGCGCATCCCCTTCATATACCGGAAAGTCCAATATGTTTCCACCTCCAAACCCAAACCTTCAGTCCACCCAGTTGCGATCCACTCAGTGTCCTGCATTGTGATTAGATTTTAGGTTTGAGCGTGAAACAAAACAGTCGCACCCCCCAGAGCACACACTCTCTGGTGCCTTTATAGCCGGCTGCCTCCACAGTATCCCCAACACGATGACCGTCTTCGTAGTGTTTTTGAGTGAAATGGATAAGCTGAATGCGCTGCGAGTAATTGAGTAATATATATCAAATTCTCAGCCGGTCACCTACTAGCCAGTTGGAATCAATTCGGACTTCAGGTCTCATGGCAGCGGCCAGAAAATCCAACAAGTCGCTCTCCCGCACAATGGTTTTCTTCTTGTGACCAGTTTGCAACGATTTGTCGACCATCGCCCATTCGCGTACAGCCTACTGACGGATGAGCCGGACTCTCGAGGACAAGCTGCAACCCGACGTACGGCGTGAATCTGGGTTCGCACATTTTGACTAGCGGCTTGTACCCCACAACGCTTCAACTAATCTTGTTAATCTACGAGCTTCTCTCAAAAGAGACCGATACTTACCATCCCAAAGGTGGCACCAACAAAACTCAGTGTGGTGGGATACGCCCATCCGCGCCTGGTTTTATCCAAATGTGACTCTCCGCGGACGGCCACGAAATGAAAAAAGGCTTTCAAAGCCTGCAAATCTGGTAACGGGGCTTCCCGCTGCAGCGTAGCTTCTGCCTGTTCGTCGCTGCCCAAATACCTGGAGAAAAAGCCTCTCCAGAGGTCCTTGGCCATTTCGTGCTTACCAAGCGTGATTCGAGTGATAGGCAGTAAGTGCTCGCGGTCAAAAAGGCCGACGTAAGACTGTAGACCGCCTGGCTCAGCAAAAGTAGTGTCGATCTCTGAGCCGACATCACGACGACGTTTTACAGGCTTTGAGCCGATGGGGAAGGGCAGATGCCCGGTGAGTAGAGAAGCAGGCGACGGGAGGGCCTGCCCAGAAGCAGTGGTAGAAGACCTTGCTGCTGCCGTAGTCAAGACTGGGGGGGCGGCAGTCGAGGTGGACGGTGTTCCAGGGGCAACAGCAGTGGATCGTACATAAGGCCGATTAGACGCAGGCGTACCTGGTTCTGCAAACGTAGGTTTTCGTCGAATGGACGGATTTTTGCGAGGGGGCATTTGAGCAGAATGTGGACCACACCGAGCGCCAGATAGTGCTACTATAAGGACTCTGAGGTCCAAGGCCAGACGTAATTCCGCGGACATTCGGTGGGTTCGCGAACGGAGTCCATCCCGAGTTAACGGGTGATCGGTCGTGCGAGAGGCCAAGGGCGATTACTGATCCGGGGCTGGTAACACCAGAGAAGTTGATCATTAGTGCCAAAAGGGTGTTTATGACAACTTCAGCTGGTAGTTTCGATGTAAAGTGAAATTTGCACCGAAACGGGCGATGGAACGACGATCGAGGTACGGGCCAGGTCGTGAATCAGATCCAAATCGTTGAAAGTGAATCTGTGAAAACATACCGCCGAGAGCCAACAAGGAACACGGGAGAAAGAAGTGATGGGGGGACATGTAATATGAGCGAGAAACATCGGAATAAGTAGGCACTGAGAGTCCTGACATGGCACAGACCGCCATTGGTAGAGATTTTGCATGGACGGCTCGACGACTGAGCGAGAGCGCGCTATGTCGGAGCACGTTCCTGTTCATCCATCAACACCAACGACAGTCTGCTCGTCGAGTCACACAGCGAGTTAGCAGAAGCAAAAGGCTGCGGGAATAGTTGAGTCCATGTCAGATTACCGATCACTGGGGTGCCGAA